GCCTACTCTGTATGACTCTCTTCTGTTGTAGGGCTGTCCACACCAACGCGTGGTCTGTAGTGCCTACATCCGTTGTGCATACTCGTACTTCCGTCTCTTTCCCCCCATTCTCTACGACTATATAGTCAAGGATGGAGCGTTCTCCTTTTTTGAAACATTGCCTAGTCAATTCCGGTTCTGTCTTTCGTACTCTACCGTTCAACACCTTCATCTCGCTACTGTCAAGGAACCTCAGCATTTCTTCCCCGTTTTTGTCCGTGGCTCCCTCCCCGTATTGCCCTATGGCTCCGTGTGGGTTCGTGGTTCGCCCGATTCTTGAATTGAAGTCCCCAACTAGAACTACTTCTCCCTTTCTCTTGAAGTTTTGTACATCCGCTGCTACCTCCTCGAACCCTATCCTGATGTCCTTCACCATATTCTTCGACTCTGGTGGCATATATACATTTCCTACGAACAAGTCCTTCCTTCCCCGTTCCCCTGGTACCCTTATCCACATGCTTTCGTTGAATTTGGTGTCGCTGATCACCTCAATTATGTCGCACATGTGCTCCTTGACTAAGAAGCCAACTCCCCCCTCCCCTCTACTCTTGATTTTCTGTCCTCTCCTCATTTTACCTATCCATGTGTAGCTTCCCACTTCTTTTCCTATTTCTGCCCCGTCCTTCTCCCACGACTCTTGGACTCCGACTATGTCCAGGTCTTTTTCGGCTGCTTGCTCGGCAATTTCGAGTCTTGTACGCTCATCTGTGGCAAACCCGCATACATTCCAAGACCCTATTCTGATTTCCTTACTCCTACTTTCTACTTTCCCGTGCCTTTCAGGATTCCTTCTGTCCCTCATTTGCCTTCCCTTCTGCCTTATCCTTTCGCTGCCCCCCCCCTTCCCCTACTTTGGCTTGCTTTCCCTTTTCCCTAGGTGAGGGGGGGGGGGGAGTTGTTTCAGTATTGGTCTTCTGAAAAGTCGTCATTGGCAGCACCGCACTGGGGGGCATTGACGGGTTGGATGATAGGCTGTTATGGCCCCCGAGGTGTGGGTTGTTTTTGACTTCCGCCTGTTTCGTGCCTCCGGGAGGGGGGACAACATATCAAGACATACGTAGCGGGAGGGGAAACATGGCATGTAGATGTGGTTGCCACCGAGCTTGCTTGTCCGTCTCGGGGACTTCGTATTTTCCCCTGTTGTTTCTTCCTTTTCGTCTCGTCCTGGGAGGATGGTTTGGCAGGCACGGCGCGCGTTGTTTGACGAAGTGCCTGGCCCCCCGCACAAGCAACAATCGAGGTCTTGTGTAGTGCTTGGTGCTGTTGTTTCTGTCGTTTGCTTGGTTGTTTTTTCAGGTATCCTATTACATAATGTTTGCTTTGGTTTTTCACAACACCTGACTGCTGTTATTGGCTAGTTGGCCGGTGAGGGCGGCAGGCGTCCGCGTCAGTTTGACCAATACAGATTGTAGGGGGTGCTAAGCTGAAATCGGAGCGGTGTTTGAACACCGAGAAAAACAACAACAACAACAACAACAACAACAACAACAACAATAAGAAGGTTTCGTGTAGTTTCGGTAGAACCATCCCTCCTATTCCTCCCTCACGCCTTGCTCTTGATATTCCTACCCGTTTGGTTAATGCCCGTACTCTCTGTTGCCACACTTTCCGTATTGGCTGCTGTTTCGGTTACTCCAACGACTTTATCCCGCTTTCTAGTCTATTGCAAGTAGGATGACTCGTGGCGTTTACAAGACAATCAGCCCCGCTGCCATCAATGTCCTCGAAGGTTGGGATGGAGGACTTCACGGCCACCCGGCCCAGCGCCGTGATCGTGCTCGACCTGGAATCGGAGGCTGATGTGCTGGCAAGGGTTAGCGGCCGGAGAGTAGACATGGCCACAGGCAAGGTTTAAAGTTTTTTTCAGCACTTTCCCGCCGCGTCTTGTTTCGTGTTTGCCATTCGTGTCGTCGTCGTAATCGTCATCGTCATCGTTGTTGGTGTTGGTTTTGGTGTTGGTCGTGGTGGTAGCGGTGGAGGTGCCGGCTTCGATTTCAAAATCACTCCGTCGTGGGCCGTTGTCATTGTTTGAAAGACGCGATTTCGGTAAGTCTGTGACAACGCTCGCGACCACTTCATCCTTCGACACACCACGAGCTCAGGTCATTCTCCCCGGACGTGTTGGACCTTACTTCGTTTATCCGTAGTTGTGGACATGGCGGGGCAAGGCTGAGACAATGTTGACCGTCCGACGCTTCAAGGACCCCGCACGTGCTTCTTCACGTACACCTTGAAGCCAGGCATAGAAAGTTATCGCCCACCCCCCCCTGGTGCTTTCAATCTCCATGGGAATATTGCGTACGCCATGGAGCGCTGAACGCATACACAGTTTTTGCCCTCGAAGACCCGACAAAAACGGTGCAATTCTCTAACTGTTCAGTCTTCCCAACACATCTCAGCTGCCCGGTTGCAGTCCTTGAGAAAGAAGGTATCGCACCGAAACTCAACTCCGGTCTCCCCTGTCCGAAAACCAGAACAAAACAGAACACAACTACATCAACAAGCAAGCGGACGATCCCCATGTTTATGAAAAGTAAAAGGGTAAACGTACCAGCAACAACGACGACAATCACGGATGACCTAATGACATCATCGTCACACGGACATCATCATGCATCGACGGCAAACAACAACGATCTAACTCATCATCATCCTAATCAACGACGGCAGGTGAGATCTACCACCAAGAGTTCCGGCCACCGCCGGCTGGGGACTCCGGCGACGAGGACGGTGGCGTAACCGTGGACGCCCTACCCGGCGACGGAATCCCCGGGGCCGTCACCGCTAGGCTAGAGTCTTACCGGCGCAAGTGCGATGACGTCGTGAGATCATTCGCGTCGACTGAGGGAGGAGGAGGAGGAGGAGGTGCCGCCGGCGCGGATGGCGAACAGAAGCAGGGGCAGTACGGGGACGGAGGAGCGGGAGGGGGGGACGGAGTGTTTCAGTGGGATGCTGGAGGTAAGGCCTTTGCTGCGGCTGCGGAAACGAAGACGGGTGTACGTGCGCGCGTGTGTGTGTGTGTGGAGCCCTTCGTCGCTTAGACCACACCCTCGTGCCTCTACAAGGCAGAAGACCCTGCGGAGAATGTCCCGGGTGTGGTAAGGTAGAAGGTTGTTTCGTGCGGCGTATCCAGCCAGAAAACGCTTGTGCGCGGCCTGCATTGCATGAAATATGTTCGAAACTACCGCCACAATGACGGTTTGTACGGAGCGGCAAACACGTGCATCCTGCGGGAAAGATACCGACATCAAGGGAATGCGGAAGAGACAGCGCTCCTGCAATCCCTGCCACCCCTCCCTCCATCTTGAAATCTCAAAGGAACAGCTCTTTCGGTTTTGCACGCACATCCGCATCCCCGATCCCGGAGATCTACGGTGACCCATAATCTCCAGTCATTTCGAGGCCTGTTTACTAAATAATGTCGCTAAAACTAATCCAATCATTTTTCTTCTTCTCTCGAAACCTCATCCGGCACTCTTGGGGTTGGTGCACGAACGATACACACCGTGTGGCAGGCGGCGGGGCGGGGGGCGAGGGCAACGGTGGAGGCAGCGGCCGGCGGGTGCCTCAAGAGGGCGTAATCCAGTTCATTCGGTCGCAGGAGGGCGGGGCGTTCGGGCGCGTTTCGGTCCTCGACGCCAACGAGGCCGTTGAAAGGCGAGTAAAGAAACGACGCGCGATATTCATGCGTATGGCAAGGAACAACCGCACGCGGTTGAGGACACGGGAGGTTCAAGCGCATAAACAACAGCGTTTTTTGTTTGGTTTCTCAGGAAGTTAAAGAAGCAGTACACTACTACCAGAGCGAACGGTTGAATTTTCGGGCGACGGCAAAAACCACCATCATTTGTGATGCATTTGCACAAACCAAGAGCACGCTCGCATGCCAAAAATCCTCCGGATGTTCACACACAAATGCTCAAACACATGAATTGCCGTTCTTGTGCAGCTGGCACGTATGTCTCCTTTCGTGTCATACTTGAGCTTTGTTTACGTCGCAGCGGGCACCAAAGTTTCTATCACATTGACCGCGAAGAACACTACAATAACATTTTTCCCTTTCTTTGCCTGGCCACCTGGCCACACACTTTGTGCGTGTACGACACAGTATCCTTGACCAAGCCGTGTCGGCCGTCGACGCCTGGGTGTCTGCCGACCACCTGGCGGTGCACGGGCGCGGCTCCAGCTCTGACGGCGGGTCCACTTCGTCCGCCGCCCTTGCTGCCCTGCCGCCTAACGCCTTCGCGGTGACCCTCTTCTGCCTCGAGTCCAGGCGAGTTACGCGGGCTGTTTCGTCCTGAGTTTCACGTGTCTTTGTCTGATTCTTCAGCGCTGCTTCGTGCGGCACTGTTCGTCGTAGGAATGTTACGACGAGCCGAAGCTTGGCGTTGGAAGAGAAACTTCGAACTGACGCTCTGCTCAACTCGGGTCTAGTACTTAGGCAAAGGTCTCGGTGGTGTGTTGGTGTTGTCATGACGCGACATTGTGCTTTTTATTGCTTGCCAAGTAGACCTGTGTGTTTCTTATCCTCCTTTTTATTCTTCAGAGAACCCTGTCGCAATTCCCAATCCATAAATGCTCAGATTCCGCCTCGTCCCCGAGGAAGGAACGGTTTGCCATCGCGGACCCGGTCCTGTGAGAACAATGACCCGTCCTCTCGAGGACGCGTGGTCAATGGCCTACCCGCTAAGGCATGCAAAACACGACCACGCCCCCGCCCCCGCCCTTCGCCCCGAAGACCACTAGCATATATTCGAAAGTCAAACACAATGCCACAAGCTCGAAGCGCCCCCGACCATACTCCCACTCCCCGTCCCGAACACAAAATGTCGACGCTACGAGAACAGGCTCGAGTCTCGCGCGGCGGACTTCCTGCCACATGCTTTCCTGCTGTACCCTGACCGAGACTATTGCGTGCTCACGCTTCCATCGGTGGGCGCGGAGAGCGTACTGCTCCGGCACTTCTCTCCCGTGCCGGCTAGGCCGGGTTCCGCGTTCAACCATGTCCTCTACGTGATGCACAGGTTGGTTTGGTTGGTTTGGGGTGTGTTCGGTTAAACGAGCATTGGAGCGGGAGGTAGACAAGGCACGTGCAGGTACAGTGGGGGTCCCTGTCTAGTGCCGTTTGAATAGTGCCAGTTCACGGTGTGGTGCCGGTGTCAGCCGGCAAAAACTGAATTTCCAAGCCATTGTCAGTACTTTGAATAGCGCCGGTCCGGTATTGTGCCGGTGGATTTTCTGGGCACATACCGGCACTAAACAGGGAGCCCCACTGTACTCCTTTCTTGTGCGTGTAGGGTGATGATCGGAAGGAGCCGACACATGAAATTGCCATCTGGTAAATCATGTGGGGATTTTTAACCATGTGGGGATTTTTGTTCTAGCAGTGTGGATCGGTGGAACGGTTTGCTGGCTGCTATGGGGTGGTATTTATACTTACATTCTCCCGGAGCCCATGCCTCATTCGTCCGGACTCATCCCTTCCCCGTCTTCTTTCGCTCCTGAGTATAACCCCGCTTCCCTCTCTCTCTCTTTCTCGACATTTCATGTCTCGGGATGCCGTAGAAAACGCCGCCCCCTTCGTTGAACGCCCCCACCAACTACTTTCGTCAACGGCCGTATCCCTACGAGGAGCAAGGGCGGTGCTCCTCCGCATTGAACTAGATGATTGGTCGATGACAAAATGGCAAAGACAGCCAATAACACCAAGGACTCATGCCGATGCCTAACGCCCTGTACCAGAGATTCGCTGCCCGCCTACAAATACCTGAGGGTTTCGAGATTCGTCGGAAGCAGTCACCGGGCGGGAGTGTCGCACCTCGTAGAATGCTGGGGCGGAGCCGACTTGGTCATGGCGGCGGTCAAAGACGCCGATCAGCACCAAAACCAGGCAAGAACGGGTTTCCGGGGTGTTCCCTGAAAACAATATGTGTGTCCCACTGCTATGATCAAAGTGGTCACGACACGCCGTGTTTTTCTCGCCAAAAAAGATGGGGAGAGATGCAGCTGATGAACGGACTAAAAACCTCGCGGGAAGCAAGCCCAAAAAAGGACCACGAAATGTTCTAAAACAAAGTCGCAGGCTAAATGATTGCGGGTGCATCGCAGCGGTGAAGGATGCCAACCGTTGCACAAAGGCCCTGCGTGATATACTGTAGTCTCACAGAGTCGTCTATTAAAACACGCATCATCTTTCTTTCAGGGCCTAACTTTGTGCCCCGGAACTTCCAGGGATGGACGGGGCTCCCGCCCGCTCCTTCGACCGCCACGAATTGTCCCTCCTGAAACGAACGCACGCGCCTTGTCTGATTGCATGAAGCAATTTTTGCGAGGGCTCGACAAAATCCCGCCATAACCCAACCCACACTTCCTCTCATCCCAATCATGAAACTGCTGGTCTTTTGTTCTTTTCCCAGCCGATTCCCCTACCCCCCCATCTCATCCTCCTCCGAATCCGCGCATGCACGTCATCGCGCGAAAACATGCCTCCGCTTCAACGACAACACGGAATCTCAGGAACTGATGGACAACCCGCCCTCGGCGGCGTTCGTGGCCACCATGGGTCACCAGGTGGTCGGCGTGTTCGTCGCCAATCGGGAGGCGTGTGGGGGCGACGAGGTGTCTCGCCTCCGGTCTCTGTTCGAGCTGGAAGACTTCATCGCGTTCGATCGACACCGGCCCAGGAACCAGGCCGTCATGACGGCGCTGGCGCTGAACCCCATCTTTGCTGGGCACTGCCGCTTTGCCCTGAAAGAGGTGCGTGTGTGTGGGGGGGAGCCCCGTGTGTTTGTCAACGTTCATATCATAAGGGTTCATATTCCTGGTGTATACCCGTGCACCCGATACCGTGGACAGTTCGTTCCGCCTGCTCCAAACATGGTATCGGGTACCGGCTGCCGTGAAACGTTCGGGTACGAGTACGGGTACGAGTACGGGTACGAGTACGTGACCCTTTGGTGAGCTTGGCACAACTTCCACACCTGATGAACCCGACACTTTGGAATGTTCGGTGCAGCATCCTTACCATCCTCATATCTTATACGCTTCGGGAAAGTCCAGTACGACTTCCCGTACCTTACCAAACGTGCCCGTACTACCGGCACATAAGGTCAGATTTGTGTGATGTTTCGAAATCCACAGTGACACACAATGAATTCACTCGCGTTTGATCATTTGGAAGAAATGGTAGCATTTCGAACATAAACCGATTGTTTGGGAGGAATGATGTTCGGAATCACATGGGTAAAGCTCAACATCAAATTTTGAAGGATGTGGAACGATTGGTGTTCGCCTAGAAACCCCCTTAGCGGAATCAAGCACGAGAACGTTGTGTGTGTGCGAAATTCTCGATTTGCTACAATGCAATCATCCTCAGCCGGACCAAAGCGAAAGAGGTACGAGCGGGACAGTATTCGACGAAGGCCTCCGAGTTCACGGATTCAGAGCATATGTCACGGATCAAAACCGAAACCCACTACTACTTCGGATCTTCTTACCGTGCCTTACTGCAGGGATACACCAGTGCCATTTCCCTACAGCACATGCTCCCATGTGGATTTCTTCTCTCCACTCCCATGTGGATTTCTTCCCTCCACTCCCAAGCGTGCGTGCTTGTGAGGGGGTGAACTTGTTGTTGCATTCGCTCGCGTAATGGGCGGTTGTGTTGGTAGATTTGTGTCCAATTTTATCGCTCGCAATTCGTTGGCATGAATATCGAATAACCGCTCAGACACACTCTGCTACCGCCTTGGTGATGCCTCCCCCCCCCCCTGGTCCCTTCCTGTACCCCCATTCGGCCCACAAGGTAATGCGCCTCTACGACAAGTCCGTGATCTACTGGTGCTCCACGCCCGGCTCCGACCTCCCCAAATCCGTTCCCTGGCACATGATTCCCGTGAGGCCGCGCCACCAGATGCAGCCACGGCCTGGAGACGTCGCCCCCACCTACACGGCAGGCGGGGGGCGGAAGCGAATCGACCATGAGGTTTGCCGTTCTATTGATTTGTCACGAATATGGTGCATGGGGGAAGGGGGCGGGGGCGGTGCATTACTGCTATGTGTGGTACAGAAATGCTCTGCTAGACTTGCAACGCGTCGGATTCTACGTCTTGCTGCTGTTACAATCCGTAGCGCTCCTTCGAACTTAACGAAGTACCGTTCATCCCTCGGCTTCCGTCCTCCCCTCCCCTCTCCTGCCCCAAATACCCAACGAAAAAACACCTTGGCCCGGGTACCTCGTAAACACCACGCCACAGCCGGCGGCGCTATACTTCCTGTCGCGGCGTTTCGTTACCGAGCCGAAGGTCACCGCCAACCGCCGCGTCGTCGTAGTCGGGGCCTCGACTACCGCCCTCGCCTGCCTCGAAGGCCTGGCGTTCACTCCCTATCTCAACATCACCAGCCTTACCCTTGTGTCCCCCGACGGAATACCCTCGGTCGCCACCGGAGCAGCCGATGAAGCCGCCAAGCCTATCGGAAGTGGTGGTTGTGGTGGTGGCGGCGGGGGGCAAGATTTTGGTGGCGATGGAGAGGGAGAGGGAGAGGCCGGAGAGTTGGCGGCGGCGGCGGCGACACTGTCCCCGGTCGACGAGGACGCGCCCGATGCCGACCGGATGGCTCGGATGGGCTTGGAGCGGCATGTTCGGGTCGTTAGGTGAGAGTGCATGGCACGTGCAGGTTACCACTGTATGGTTTCTGTTGCTCAGGTGCGTACTACGTGTTTACGTGCGTGCTCTCTTCTCCTGTGTGCAATATTGAGGCGAGCGGGGGACCGAAGTTGTGCTTGCTTTCCGCATGCGAAATAGTCTGTTTCCTACGGATCATTTGTGGAGATGACACATCAAGTCCGAGTACCACGTAGATAGGGAAAGGGACGAGCCCGTGCTGGTTCAGGGCCAACGCCCGTAATCAATCTACGTAGTTTCAAGAATATTTAATACCGCCGTGGGCATAGTTTCGAGTGGTCTACTGTGAAAAAATGAAAAAAAACGTGAGAGGTTCCCTGATGTGCTATACAGTTTGGGTCTCTTATAGGGAAAAATCACGAGGGTTCACGCGGAACCCGCTCACACGCCCAAACCAAACAAAGCCTCTCCGTCACCTCGCCCCAAACTCGCCCTTCTCGGCCGAACGAGCAAAACAACTGTACATACCCACCATTTCGGCACGTGGGCTCCCGTGCAGATCGCGCATGGTCCACCTGGACCGCGAGAACGGCGCCATCCTCCTCCCCGATGGGTCCGTGGTGCCCTACGACGTCCTCGTGCTGTGTACCGGCCTGCAGGTGTGTCTAGATTTTTGTGGGGGAGCGCCTAGCCGGTCGGACCCGACCTCTTAACGCGTCGGACCGTGCCGGATCAGGCCTCTTGGATAACCGGAGAGTTGTTTGTTGGCAGGGAGAGGGGGGGGGCGGCACAGATAAGGGGAAAGAGTTTCATCGCCGCCTGTTTTGTCTTCGTTGCTTGGCGGAACGGATTCCTTGCCAATACGATGCGACAACTCACACGGCAATTGTTTTCGGTCTCCTGACGTTGTATTTTCGGTTTCCGCGTTAAGCGAACCTCGGTATGAGTGTTGTTGACCACGACCGAGAATGCAACCTTGGCCTTCTACTTTACCTCACGCAGCCCTGACCAGACTTCTACCCCGACTGCCGACGCCGTCGTTGCCCCGCGATTCTCGCGGCACACAAAACGCACATGCATATTATTCTCACAACAACAACAACAACCCAAGGACGACACGTCGCGCCGCCTAGGGTTGTGGGCCCCCGGCCTAAACCCTTCCAGCCCGGGCGTCCCAGGCTTTATCTCCCTGGACTCCCCCTTTCTTCGGGTGGACGTCGAGAAAGCCGTCGCTAAAGCCCCGCCGGACGCCGGCGTGGTGGTGTACGCCGTCGCCCTCAAGGCCCTCTGCGCAGTGCGAGGGCTGATTGACATGGGCGTGGCGCCGGGGAGGATCTCGGTGGTACGGCCGTTGTCGGCTGGCTCGGCGGCAGCGGCGCCGAGGATGGCAGACGTGGCCGTTTCGGCGGTAGACGACGAGGAGAAAGCGGCGCCCCCCGGCAGTACAACAAGAGGGAAAGGTGTGAAGTCGTCGTCGTCAACGTGGTCGCTCGGAGACGAGGCGGTCGACACCGCAGCGGTCGCCGCGGCGGCCCGGGCCGGAATCAATGACGCCGGCGAGCGCCGACTTGAGGGGGTGCGGGTGGACTCCGAGGGAGGCGTGGCGGCCGCAGTGTTTGCGGGCAAGGGCGTCGACGGTCGAGGTGGGGGTGACGCAAGCGGGCGGAAGCAGCGCCGGTCGAAATCTCACGAAAAGGGTGAGAAAACCGGCGCTGCGAAGACGGCGGTGGTGGTGGCGGCGGCGGCGGCGGCGGCCGGGGAGGTGACGGACCGAAGGGGTGGCGGCGGCGGCGGCGGCGACAACCACTCCACGGGAGAGGAGCAAGAGGAGGGCGAAGAAGACGCCACGAGGAGCGACTTCCTTGCGTGCGGCCTGCTGCTGTGCGGGGACACGCCGAATGTCGACCCAGACGTGTTTAGGGCGGCCAACAACAGCGGCCTCGTATATGACGGGCGCCTTGTCGTCGACCCGACGTTCAGGACCTCCGACCCCGCGGTGCTGGCGGGAGGAACCCTGACAAAGTTCTCGAGAGTGCACGGCTCGGGCGCGCCCCGGCACGAAAAGTTCAACGCGAGCGAGGTGAGTCGAACTCGGCCCGCTTTTACTACGTTGTGTGGTACCGTGTTTTGTCATCGAAGGCCATCGGGCATCCTAGTTACGTAATTAGTCTGGGACCTGTGACGCCATGCAGTTTCATTTTTCTGCGATCCTTTCTACATTCTGCCCGACGTATACGACACAGGTGACACTATCTTGTTTGAGAGCATGGTCAACGCGCTGTCGTTGAGGTTCGTGACTACAAACAGAACCACACCGGACGTCTGCCCCCCTCCCACCACTCGTATCACAGCCACCCTAGGTTTCTAATACGTCTTTTTCGCTCCACTAACCTAGCCACCGATACCGTAACCAATCGGCGCACTTCTCAGAGTTATGTTGTGGTTGTATTGTCCGGACCTTTTTCGACCAGGTTGGCACCCATCTCGCCTCGTGCGTGCGTCAGCAAATCGACCCCCTCTCGCTCGCACAAAGCACATGCGCCGACGACCCCGACGCCATCGTCGACGGTTGCGGCTCCGAGCGCTACACTGATGGCGGCGGCGGCGGCGGTTCACGCCAAGGAACGGCGTACTCCGGAGCCTCTCCTTTTGGCGCCCGAAGCAGCCCCGTTACCGCCCTAGCCCCAGCGCCTCGACTCCCGATCTTCGAGAAACCTCGGTGCGTGAGCGGAAAGCTCCCGGGCGGGCTGTGGTACGTTCGCGCGACGCTGCCGCCAGCGGATGAGTCGTCCAAGCGTCGAGGCGAAGGCACGGGCGGTGGTGGAGGCGACGTTGGCAGCGACGCGGAAGGCGGTGGGGAGAGCGATGATGACGGCCGCGGCGGAGAAGAAAAGCGCAGCAGTGCCTCTGGGGGGGGCGATGAGGTCAAGTCTTTCACTACGGGAGCGATCGTGGTCGGCGGTGGCGGTGGGGAGGACGACGACGACGGCGGTGCTGCCTCTGACGAGGGAGGAGGGGTCACGGGCCAGTACTGTTTGGTGCGGGTCGACTCGCTAGATCGGGTGTGCGACGTCATCTACTGCGGCCGGGAACCCGTGGAAGCGAAGAACCTCAGCAAGGTCGTAGGGGTGCAGCTGGGCTACCTCCAGGCGAGTGGGAGGGGGCAAACGCGATGGTCGCAAGTTGCAGCAGTTGACGGAATCCGGCTTGTACGGGACACTACCTTTGTGCGGTGATGCCCACCGAAATGCGACTGACGATACCTCGGCTATAACCGTCACCAACCAAGTAGTGCCACTCTGGCCCGTCCGCTGCCTGGTCGTTGGCCCTCACCAAACCCCTCTCTCGCCCTCCCCATTTTCGCACAAACTGCACAAACACCAGGGCCTAGAAGCGGCGTTCGAGCGTGGAGGGATTTCGAGCTGGATCGATTTCTTCCGGCAGGGCGCGTTGACACCTCTGTACCACGACCGTTTCCCCATGCTCTCCGAGGATCTGAGGGAGGCGTTTTCTGACGGGGACGAGGCGGCGGCGAACCTGCTGTCCGCCTTGAACAAGGTAGGGGAAATGGGAGGGGCCGGTCCTGTGCCCTTCAGGTCATAAATTGCGCGCGTCGCGCAAGTTGTCGCGCACGGGGCGACATCCGGGTAGAGGTTAGAGTTCGGCGAATGCGAGGAACGACATGTCATATGCCCCAAGCAAATTGCTGCTGCACAACTACTTGCAGAGTCGCTAGCCGACCCATGAATATGAGGTCACTTATTCCATCGTCGAGTTCAGGCGGCTTATGGAGTGAAATTCGTCTGGAGGCCGTGCGTAGGTGAGACTCGACTTGGATTTCGGTCACAAACACAACAGAAAGTTACTGGAATCTCTTCTCGTTGTCGACCCCAAACATCATGACGCCCTTGTTTTCAAAGCTCGTTACTTGAGCTAGAACGCGTTTAATGTAGGTTTTGCTCGGCTCTGGTTAAAGGTGAGGCAGGCTCTTGTACATTCTAGAAACTCAGTCATAACGCACCCGCCGATCAACCGAACCTCGGGAGAGCAGGGTTGGTGACGGGGGACGTTTTTTTTAATGCTTTTATGTCCGTGGTTGGCGACGAATGTATTCAGCGGCCCGCCCATACGCCTAAAATCGAACAAGAAGCTTGCCACTTACCAGCCCGCCCCCCTGCTTGACAAACCACGACTCATTATGTTCGATTCCTTGCAAAATACTTGTGTGACAACGTCAGAGCATCATCCCAATCTCCAGCGAAAACCTACTCCAAGATGGAAAACACCTGAAAAACGTGATGGTTCGTGGCGACCGTCTGATTTTTCCCTTGCCTAGCGAGAACAGGCACGCTCAATCCTACATCTGTGATCCTTTCGATCAACTCACACCCCCCTCTGTGTCTCCTGCCCGAACACATGCATGCGTGATCAAGCACAAGCCAAGAGGAAGACTGACCCGTATCACGGTAACACATGCCCTTTCTTTAATAACACGCAAAACAACAGGGGATCGACGACGGTATGAACGACGACTGGCTGTCTCTATCGATCCGCAAGGCCGTTGGGCCCGGCGCTTGCGAGCTGCCTCCCTCCACGCGGAAAACGGCAGAGGCTCGTGCTCTGGAGTGGGTGAGGCGGAACCGTGGACTGCTACCGCATTTGGCTTTGCCTGTGCCTCAACAACCTGCCTCTTCCGCTGCCGACGGGGTTGTTGGTCGTAGTGGCCCGGCCGTTGTGAAGGCCCGGGCGAGATAGTACCCGCTAACCAGCAAGGCCTTCAGGGATGGCGACGTTCTGCGCTGGCTGCTTTCCGTATTGCGTGCGCGCTTATGTTTATTTACCGCAGCAGCAGGTCGCTCCTGCTGTCGATGGAAGGGGAGCGGTGGCGTTTATTGAGGATTGTCGTAACAATTCGCGCGACACGAAAAACGGGGTTGCGTTTGCTCGACCACATTCGAGAAGTGAGCGCAAAGGGCTATGTGAGTGGCCATGCACACGTAGCCACTTTGCTCCGCCTTTTGCGTACCCTGCGGGACCAACACCCTGTACACACCCTGTCCAGACCCTGTCGAGACCCTGCCGGGGACTGTTGTTCTACAAGGTCGCCGTACCGGAGACCTTGTGGAGAGACCACCCTGGTCAGGGGTGCATTGCCTATACCCTGTGCTACCTGGCATGTATTTAGAGTGCCAAAAGAGGCACCACCATTGAAGAGTCCTCACCCGACGATATGTGTTCGTATTATACTAAATATGGTATCAGAATATGCATACTCCGGAGTACGATGTGTTTTGATTTCCAGAGGCAGTCTACGAGTACGGAAAAAAAAGAAAAAGATCCGCAGCACGTACCGGAGGTGACACAAGATACCACGTCCCCTGAACCGCTTTTCAGAGCTCAATTTTTCTCCGCAAAACAGAATTAGTGGCAGCGCCGAAAACGGCGGCGTTGAAGAAGCCGTCTCGTCAAGAGCTTTCCGAAAGGTGTCGTTCCATTTATGCAATATATCCACCAAAGAAAAAGGAAAACATTTTGAACAGACACCAACACGGACACCAATGAAATTCCCCAACAAGAGGTATAGTAGTTCAGATGTCACACGGTTACCGCGGTTTAATCTGCTAAATACAAAGTGTGCAGCACGCAAGGATACGCAAAAAAGCTTCGATGAACGACACTTGGCGCAAACTAAAACAACGGTCCGTACAACGCGCGAATATACAACATACAACCCAAACATGTGGTGCTACTTTGTCGATGATGAGCATGAGGCCGAGGGCACTATTTACCCTTTCCCTCGGGGTTTGTCTCCTTCGGGGTTTGTCTCCGCCACGTCGGGTCCATCAGAACCGTCGATCCTGTGACGTCAATGCATACAGGACGAAACGAGTCGTTGTCAAAAAGGAAGACGACAAAACAACATCTACAAGCTCTGCGGTGGCGACGTGTACTCGTACAAGTATACAGTGAATTCAGGGCCCGTACAATTTCTACGTCGACGAAAAATTAATGCGTGGCTCGTACAATGAGGGCCTTATTTGGCCGCGTCCCGGCCCAACATCCGAATGTTGAGAAGCATATAGATCCATTCCCACCTCAAACAAAAGTGTCCTGGTTGACGCTGTGGTGAACCTCGTTTAAAAGGTACCTATCGTAGCCGTTGTGAGAGCCCGGATGTGCCAGCCTGAATCTGTGGTGCCAAGCGCGCGTGTTGCGACCCTCCCCTTGGGTTTGTTCGCAAACAAAAGCCTCTCCCGGATCGACATCTCCTCTCCTAGGGCATTGGTGATAGATGTGCACTTGGCGTCGGATGGCGTCCACGGGGAAGACCAACGGAAGCCCCCGACCACGCAGGAGCAAGGTTGGGTGCCCCGTGATGGAATCGGGCACACGTTCGTTTCCTTCACCAACCCCCACATACTCGTACCCGAGCACCCACCAGGTAACCGGAGGCGGCTCCCCGCTCAAGGAACGAGGGTTCCCCTCGTGCAGGAAGTAGAGGATCTTGACCAATGTCAATTGGTCCGTTGCAACAGTTCCAACGTCAGGTGGTGGCGGTGGCCCGTTGTATACCTCAACATTATCACCACCTCCGCCCCCCAAGGCCCAGTCATCGCGCGGCCCGGGTCTGTCCGCGGTTTTGGCATCGCCGCCCTTCAAGCAACCCTGTCCGCAACTGGCCACGAGGGGGACGCGTATATATGTAGAACACGCGATCTGGTTGACTTCGAGCGCTGAGGCATGACCATCGTCCCAGCACGAGGGACATCGTAGGTTCTCGCACGGCTCTTCCCTCCCGCATCCGTAGTACGTCTCGAAAGCCCTAGACAAAGTTTCTTCGTCGGGTCGGAGATGTCCTGACGCCACACGATCCGTCCAGGTCCCAGCGACGTTGCACACGTCCCCGTCTTCGAACAGAGTCGCCGCCCATACTGCCGAGCCCGGGAACTGCACCTTTAGCTGGCCTGGCGACTGGCTGCCTTTGCTTTGATGTCTGTAGGCACGCGATCGTGGCCAAGGCTAGGGCCGAGCCATTGCAACATCCGAACGCAAGCAGACCGGGGCTGACCTAGACAACCTCGTGCATCCTGGTGCTGTGGTTGTACTTTGTCACTTCGTACTGCAGGCCGTTGGCGAGTGCCAGTATGGCGGCATTGGTGTTGGCGCGCATAGTGCAGCGGAGGGTTACGTCCACAGTCCGACTTGGCGCCAGACTTGTTCTGCTGGTGCGCGAATTCCCCGGAACTCGCGTCCGGGACACCTATATACGGGGGAGGGTGTGGGCGGAGATGAAGCAACTTTGTGAGGGTCTACGTAAAAGTATCTTCCCAGAGCACAGTCCCACACAGATTGTTGTTGTTGAGGGGGTGTTGTATATATAATTGTCCATCCCAGGTAATCCCACTCTGCTATGTGAAGAATCATCCCGCGGGAAAAACGATACATAGCACCAACCACAGGCAGAACTGCAGTATCTCGTTCGGTTTTACCCCCACGGGTTTTCGACTTGCTACTTCTGGCTCTACTACTACTTGCCGTCGCCATCAGGAACGAGGATAGTTCGATAGAATAAATCTCTTGGAAGGAAGATCAAGTTGCAGGCTGTGAGGAAAGAGGACAGATGATGATGATGGAGCCATGGAGCCCTCTCTCAAGCCCTCTCTCAAGCCCTACGCCCATGGAAGCGGCTAAACTATTGACAGACGCGTCCCGATAAGAACCAGTATCAAAAGGGCAGCCAGCGAAGCAAACACGCACACGGATAAAGTATTATTATAGTCTCCCTCCCGACTACTGCTGTAGACCGCAGGTACACATACCGGTTGATTCGTTACTGCCCCTACAACAGCAGTTCTTCACTGACTGTCGTTTTCCCCTCATCCGTACTCAAACTCTTCCTCGTCTTGCGAGAAAATGGGCACAGGAAAGGAATCAAATTCCGACTAACACACTGAAGTGCAAGAAAGGTAACTGCCGACTGCCTTGCCCATGAATCGCTCAGTCGCGCCGTGTTTCTCAGTCGCGCGCTGGGGATGTCTGTCGCTCGCACGGTCCGATGCGGTCCGACATGACACGTCTCATCAAGTCTCTGTGGCGTATATTATCAAACGCAAACATGCCGCAGATATCCACGAGTTTCCGTAAGAAGAGATCCATCATGTTGCCCTTGCTTTCGATCACCCCACCCGTTCCGTATTGTGCGCCGCCCTTGTCTCTGTCTTTGTCTCTCTCTCTCTCTCTCTCTCTCTCTCTCTCTCTCTCTCTCTCTCTCTCTCTCATTTTCTTTTCCGCGGCTGTCGTCAACCATTGTCTTTCGGTTTGAGTTCAACCAGTTCTACGCTTCCTCTCTCTTTGTGTTTTCCGAACCTTAGTCCACGCATTGGAAATGAAATACCGAGACCATGCTTGCGAGAGCTTGAGGGGGTGTGCCACGCGTTTCCGTAGGAGGAGATCCATCATGTTGCCCTTGCTTTCGATCACCCCACCCGTTCCGTATTGTGCGCCGCCCTTGTCTCTGTCTTTGTCTCTCTCTCTCTCTCTCTCTCTCTCTCTCTCTCTCTCTCTCTCTCTCTCTCTTTCTCTCTCTCTCTCATTTCTCTAATTTTCTTTTCCGCGGCTGTCGTCAACCATTGTCTTTCGGTTTGAGTTCAACCAGTTCTACGCTTCCTCTCTCTTTGTGTTTTCCGAACCTTAGTCCACGCATTGGAAATAAAATACCGAGACCATGCTTGCGAGAGCTTGAGGGTCGCAGGCTACCAGACTGCAGCCAAATCACCTCTATGATCTCGGTTCTGGCCTTGCGCGAGAGATGACACACAAGACATACAATACATATTCCGTTGCACATGCTACATGTAACGAAGACAATACCATATACATGTGAGAGGTGTTCGCTATATCTTATACATCGCTTCGTTCGTTCAATCAAGCCCGTGGCTACAGGCTAGCCGCACGTTTTCCACCAGTCAGACTAGTCTAGTCTAGGTGCAGTCTCCCTCTCTCAGACTGCAGCACGCGCACGTACCATTCCCGTTCATATGTCGTTGAACACACCACAGCTGGCGGTCGTCGGAAATTTATCCGCAGATATTTTCCCGCTGTCAATTGGAATTACCGTTCCCACTCAAATCGTCCGGGTTCCCATTCATTACCCCCAAACCGTTTCCAACAAAATTAAAGTGCGGTTATCATCTGTGCGAACGTCGGGTGGGTAACGTCGTCAGTGGTTGGGACCCAGGTGACCTGCTGTCTTCTATCTTGCCCTCAATGTTTGTTTCGATGTCAACATTTTCGTACTGCGGTTGTTTTATCCAACCTCAAACAGATTCCTCTCGTCACGCCGACCAAAACTCGCATCATATGCCACACAGACAGATAGACGGACTCCCTGGGAAAAAGGAAAAAGTTCCATCACTTGAGGCCGGGGCTATATGCCTACACACTGCTGTTTTTGTCATGGATTGTTATCGGGCATTAAAAATCGGTCCAAGGGGGTGCGGTATCTTATGCAACATACGGCACTGCTTCTCGGACTGCAGCGATGATGTCTGTCTATACACTGCTGTTCACATGAAATATTTACCTGGAGGCGTTCGAATTGACGAAGCCGTTCGGGTCGCCAGCTCGACGACTCCACTACCCTCGTCCTGCAGAACTCCATGACCTGCGGCTTCGCCTGCCGCCCCCCTACCGCCAGGATGGATAGCAGTGCCTGACAAAGCGGCTGCTCCTCAAAGCGTCTCCGAGTGGATCCG